GCAAGAAATCAGATTATTATTATCAGACCATAATGGCATCAAACATGCACGACTGCGTTTTCCCTGACAACAGAAGCAAGAATCGAGCTGCAAGAGCCTTGAGATGATCATAACCCCTCACTTGGTTTCACTTCGATACTAATGAAGACGAAATCGGGGCAACCTGCATGATGGACAGGTGGTTAGCGTCTGGTGGCAGCGTTAAACAGCGAGCATGTGCCTCTGCTGGTGGGGAGCGATATCTGCCTTCTTGAAGGTCCCTAGCAGGGCAAGAAACTTGGAAGCTGGCCACTGTATTTGCTGGCTGCCATGGCAGCATTGGCCAATGCCTGTGCTGCCTGTGTGCGTACATGCATGCGCAGAGGTTGGGAGGAGAGAATTCGCATCTATGGGGTGTTTTTTGTTTCCACTGGTGTGCCTCTCCACTGCTCGCAAGTAAATGCAAGCACCTGCGTGCAGACACGTCTCTTATTCAACAGTGATGGCTTTATGTGTGAGAAAGGAGTAGTGGGGGCGGCGCAGCGGCCTCGGTCCCCCGCAAGCCAGCCCCCTCTTCCTAAATTTACGCGGGCGTTACAGCCCAGTCTCTCTCTCTCTCTCTCTCTCTCTCTGAGAAAGGTGGGGTGCTTACCATTTCGTAACGCATTGATGGCGAAGGATGTAAAGCCAATAGGCAGTTGGGTGCAGCTGTAGGACGCGCTGGACGCATCTGACGCTACAAGCGTGCAGTTTGGTCGGCCAAATGAGACATCAGCAGCCGTGTAGTTCCCCAGAACCAGCGTGAATTGAGCAGTTCCGCGCGGTGGCAAGGTGGTAGCATCAGCCAGGACTTTGATTGAACTGGTTTTGAATGCAACCTCTTGTGTGATGTTGGGACCAGGGGCGACCGCAAGACGATAGTCGTTGCAACCTGGGCAACAAGGTAAAGGTAAGGATTAGACAGCACAGTCAGGTGAGCATGCGTCTGTGGTGGGCAGAACCCAGAACGAAATCAAGAGTGACGTGGTGTGGAGGAGGTGTCGCAGCCGTTTCAAGTCAAGTACTGCTGCATGCGCCCATTGCAACCAACCGTGGCTCTTGCAGCAAGTGCAATGTCTATCAAGTCAGCCCACCACATCAATTGCCATAGAGCAATGGTGTTCCTTATTGTATCGTATAATCATGCTTTTGTATGAATACGACGCTTGTCCCCCTGGACCGGGGTAGGTGGTTGCGTGGTTCATGCGTGCCTGTGTGTGCGCGCGCCCGTACAATGCATGCATCCACCGGTAAACAAGCCAGTAGCAGCATGGTCTGCTTGTAACTTCAACAGGCAATTCGCACATGCTCACTTTGAAAAGTGCACCCATCTGCGCCGACTCCCGTGCCAATGGTGAACAGAGGGCAGGTGCAGATCACCGAGCCGTTGGCAGTGGCGTTGACTGAGCAAGTAGCCACGGGGCTGCACGTGGCTTGTTCAGTAGCCGTACAGTTGGCTGCACGAGCAAGGGGATGGGGTACAACAGTGCGGTAAAAAGCTTGGAAAGCAAACATCATGACTAACAATGCTCTGTTTGCGATGGTCTGAAAGTGTAAGGATCACATTCAGGTGTCGTGCAGCCAAGTTTTGACAACGTAGGCTGACAAGGAAACCAGCGGTTGGTGATGATACCAAGGGGCACGCAGCAGCGTGCAGCAAAAATGTCAGCATTTTTCTTCCTTTTCCTCACTTGCATCTGCTGTAGCCAGCATGGCCAGCGGCAGCAAGGCGATGGTGATTGCCACCCAGCCGTTGTGGCGCCACACCTGCATTCTGCAACAATTCTGCCGGAATGTATGGTGAGAGCAGGGGCAGGATTGAAAATGCGCACGAGCGTGGTCAAGGTTTCTCTGTTTAAAATATTCAAGTGCACCAGGGTCCACATTATGTACTTGTTGTTATTTCATTCGATGCAAATTCTGCGCCATCAGGCGGCTTGGCACTTGTGACGCCGGAGATGCTGGCACGGTCGGGTCTCAACCTGTGGTTTCGATGACTGGTTGTCCTCCGACCTCGATAATTTATGCTACGGGGTGGTCGTGCGTGTTTGGAGTCCCTGTTCGGGGAGGAGGGGTGATGCGCGGAACCTTGCTGAGGATTGCGAGGGCGGGGCTAGACAAGCTGCGAGTCACCAGGGCTATTGTAAACAAGCTATCAAAGCTCTTACCACTGATTTTCGCGTCGTGCGGCTGTGGTGACCGGATCGATTGCAACAATGAAACAAGTCCAGACGGGCAGAGGGCACACTTCGAGTATCAATTGACTGAAGCTTTAACTTGAGTATAATTGAGTTGAATGACCATCTGGCGTTGCGTGCTCAATGTATGCCCGCCTACAAGCCCCAAAGTGACCCGCGGCTGCCCGAGCATGGCCGCTGGATGGTGCATCCAGCCACCTGTGAGCTCATGATGCACATGGCATTACTCCCATCAATCTGCAACTCAGCGCCATGCCAATGAACATTGTCATCAGGGCTATGCATTTCTTTGCGGTGTAGAGTAGATTTGCTGTGTCTGAGGGCCTCTGTGAAGCGTGTGGCTGGTAACAAGTCCGGCGCTCATCAGGGAGGCCAGTGATTCCTGAAGCATGGTCAGGTGCAAGGAAGTGGCTTTTTGAACCATGAAACTGCGTACATATGCTGAGCACATGGATTTTCAAAGCTCGAGGCGAAACCATCCTACGCCGCGCCAACGGCTGGGTGGTACTGATCAGAATGTTGGCTGACTCATGCAGATGCCATGCAAGTGAACTAGGGCGTATCCACTGGCACACAAGTGACACGTTGACACATTATGCAATAGGATTAAAATTGCCATACGCCAGATGGGATGCTGGAAAGAATTTGTCCGCAGAATCGGGCGTACTGTGCCGCCTCGCAACGTCCCGATTTGGCTGATGATGACCCTGGGATGCTTCCAGGTCCAAGCGGGCCATTGAGCGTGCTGCTGTGTGTGGCTGGTGCGTTCTTGCAGATGCACACGAGGAAGGTTTTGCTGCTTGCCAGCTTCAGGTCGAATGTATGTGACCCGGGCCGGTTCCATGGCTTTCTACTGCGATCCACGCACGCTACAGGCCGAGTCCAGCAGGCAATGGCCGCAGCACGGTCGCGGGGCACTAGAGATTCATAAGTCCCGGTGGAAGGTGTGCGATAAGGGGATGGCCCACTCACTTTGTGCACTGTTCTGCTTGCCGCACGCTTGCTACTGCGCAGTGCATGCACGACTCCGGTGGGATGGTGCCGGCGTACTACTGCGACTCCAAAGTAGTCGAGCTCTCTTTTCACCTAGGCACCTGACAAAACTACCACGTGACCTAGACGGCAACATGCGTGTCGGCCTTGCCGCGCAAGGGTCTCTTGGGGGGCACGCTGCGTGGACAATCCTTGGTCTGCCTGCTTTGGTCGGCCGCTCAACAGTTTCTCAGTCTGCTCGCTTGGTTGCCATGCGTGCTTGCTGCCTGCTGCACTTCAGGACTCAATTGCACGCACATGCACAGCCTTGCAACAATCAAGTTGTGGCCGTTGCGAATTCCAATTGGCCGCAGGCGGGACTGCATGCAGCAGACACCGCCACCTGAGACAAGTGTGAAGCTGCAGCGCTGCTGTGTTGCAATAACGCGAGCGCGATTCCCCACAACCTTAAAGATTTGCGTGCCCCGTCCTCCCCCAAAGGCAGGTGCCACTTGCGCTGTACAGTGCCACTTGCGCTGTACAGTCTAGGGCGTCGGCTTGGAGAGAGTGAATCCGCCCCCGACGCTGCCACTAGTGGTGGCGCGTCCGAAGCAGCGGCGATCCAACCTGACTGAGTTTGAAGCGCGGCCGCTTCAAACTCAAGCAGGCCTTGCACTTGTGCTGCCGCACAGCTCGTATTGCTGCTTGGTCTCAACATGGCCATCGACCACAACCCAGCCAGCAGCCTGCCATCACGCTTGCGCTGCTTCGTCACATGAGCGGCATTCTACGACCCCTCGCACAAAATCCCGCACTGTTCAGGGGGGGCATGATGCTGTGCCAAGGCAGGGACCACGGACTGGAAGCACACCAGGTCGCCGCTAATCAGCCCACCCATGCCAGTATACAGCGCCCACTCACCCGCTGCACGCCTGCGTCCCAGCACCTCCAGCTGCCGCAGCCACCTCGCCAAGCGAGCGCGGCAGCTTCCTAGGCGGCTTGCACCCACAGTGCACATGTCCATGCAGTGACACTTGTCAGGCGGCAAGGCCGGGCCGCAGCGCCCAGAACCTCTGAGGGGAGCGCAGATGGCGGGGGCCCTTGTAGAACAGGTGGCAGCAACATTCTTGGCTGTGGCAGCCCTGAGGGGGCATGGCGTGTGTGCCACTGCGTGTTCTCTTCCGTGGCTCGCTCACTACGGCAACAACACAATTCATACAACTGTGCAGACCGTATTTGGTGGGTTTGATCTGTATGGCACTGCAATAGCATGCAGTTGCATGCTTGAGCTGGTACGCTTTGTTTTCATCGGACTGAGCTCGATGTCAATGCCATCTCGCAGCGGGTGATCAACGAGCCATGTCAACCAACCTTCCGCCAGGATCTCAAAGACACGTGGGAAGCATAGTGTAGCTGCTGTTATGTCATGCCAAGTATGTCCCAGGCGTGGTCATCTGGGAGAACGGTCCTGAATTCCGCAGCACATTGACCCACGAGACGGCGTGCACGGCACCTACGCCAGCGGTGCAGGCGCAGGCGCCATGTCGGCACAGGAGCGGCTGGTGGCGCTGCAGGCAGACCGCCGCCACCTGCTCGAGTATGCCCTTGAAGTGCGTACAGCTGCTGCACCCGCGCGGGCATGCCGCCGTCGCGCGGGCTCACAAATTGTTGCCCTGTCTCGCGGGCCTGGTGACTCGCGTGCTGCGCGCGCAGGCCGGGAAGGTGCATGCACTATGGCCTCAGACCCCCATGGCGCGAGTCTCCCCATAGGTGCAGCCGGAGCGCGACGTGCGGGTGATCCTTCCCATAGGAATGGAGCGCCCGGAGCCGTGGCTGCTCGACGCCATCGACGCCGGCCTGCTGCTGCGCGCGCTGCGCGCGCCGCCGCCGGGCGGCGCGCCTATCGAGCTGGTGCTGTACTGCATGCAGGTGCGCCGGGGCGGCGCATGCGCGACGCATGTGGGCGCATGCGGCATTCAGCGCGCGTGCAGGCAGTCCCTTGCTGCGCCTCTGGCGGCTGGTGCGCCGCAATGGGCAAAGACTTGCTGAGAGGGACGGCGGCCGGGGCCATGGGATGCTATCAAGGCTTGAACCTCTGCGCCCGCATGCAAACGGCGGCGGCCGGCCGCGCCCGCAGGGCGCCCGCGCCACTGGCGACGACGCGGCCCGCCCCCCTCGCGGCGGCGGCGGCGCCGGCCCGGCGCGACGGCAGAGCAGCGGGCGGCGCGCCACGCTCGCGAGCGAGGGCGACGCGGACGGGGCTCTTGAGGAGGAGCCGGAGCTATCAATGCCCCAGATGGCCACCGGGCTGGGCGAGCCCGAAATAAAGGACCTGGCTTATCTCATTGTGGCAGCCACCTGCAGGTGGGCGTCCTGGCAACAGCCGCGGGGATCATACGGTCAGCCGGCGGGAGCGCCGCGGCCGTCGACGGGGCGGCGGCAGCGGCGTTCCTGGGGCAGGCGCTCGCCGGCAGCGGCGGGGGCTCGCGCGCACGCGGACGGCGGCCGTCGGGCGGCTGCGAGTCTGCGTGCGTCACGAGTCGGCCGAGGAGCAGGGTCGTGCAATGTCAACCCTGCTTTGTGCGTTGCCAGCGGGCCGGCTTCGTCCCCGGGCCAGGTCATTGCAGGGATGCAGCTGTCAGGACGTCAGCCCCAAACCCTGAGCCTCTTTCAAGGGTGCCTGCTCAGCCCCTTTGCTTGAATCTTTCAAAGACACGAACGCGTGCGCGTGCACACGCGCTCAGGGACGGCGCCGCGGGGGAGCTGCTGCAGACGGTGCGCAGCCAGCTGGACGTGGACGAGGAGGGGGCGGCCGAGGTCGAGCGGCTGGTGGCGCTGGTGGAGGGCGCCATCGCGCGCACGCAGGCGGCGGACAAGGGTGAGCGGGCGCCCATGGGTTGCAAAGGGCGGGTGGTGTTGTGGACGCGGGGTTGCCCTGATCCATGAGGCTTTGCGCCCCCACGCAGACCGTGCCTGTGAGCCCAAATCGTGGCGGCAGTAGGGCTCTGTTTTGGGGATGCTTTTCTGGGGGATTGCCTTCCCCAGGTTTAGTTTCCGCTTGCTGCCCGATATTGCTGCTGGTGATCTCAGGCGTGGCGCCGCTGTCTGCTGACTGGAGCGCGAGCCTCGAGCTGGTGCTGGTGCTGCTGGAAACGGTGCTGCCAAAGGACTTCAAGCGGTTCAAGTGAGCTTTTTGGGTGGTGGGGTTGGGCGCGTGCAGGCGTGAGAGGCTGGGCCGCATGCGGCATGAGAGGCGGATTGATATTGTGTTGAGGAGCGGGCGGAACGGCTGACGGCTGGCCGGCGTGGTGCAGCAGCCAGTGGCGACGCTTGCTGGGCAGCTGCGCGTTGACTAGCGGTCCCAACGGTCGTTCCACCCCTCGTGTCTGACCGCTTTGACCGCTGTTGACCACCTTTGTCGCAGGTCTTTTGTTGCCTGGCGGGACACGCTCCAAAACGCGGTGCTGCAGACGCTGCTGCAGGGCGTGCGGGACAGCTGGCGCCCGCCACAGCCGCGCGACGGCGAGGCGGCGGCGCCGGCGCCGTCGGCACAGCAGCTACTGGCGAGGTGCGGTGGCGGCGGAGTGCTCTCGCACAAGTTCTTGGACCCTCCGACGAGCACATACTGCCCTCACAAATCGAGACTGCCACCTACAGGCCACCCTGCCTCCTCCACGCCATTCTGCCTCTCACGCTACCATCCATCCCATACCCACGCTCGTTACTTGGCAACTGCCTGTCTGTCTCCAGACTCAGGGGCAGCCTGCATTGACCTGCTCTAACAACCCCTTACTTTCTCTCTCTCTCACACACACCACATACGCACGCGCGCACACGACTCCACCCCTTCAAGTGCCCACACAACTTGCACACCAAATCATCACTACATGTCCTCCTTTGTGATGCCATTTTTTTCCGAAACCAAGCCGCCAACACAAGCATTATATTTCCCGCTCTGCTTTCCATCAGAGCAGCCTCACAAGGCAGACTGCCCTGTCGAGTGCGTGCCTTCGCCCTCCACCCTGACCAGGACCATCCGCTCCATCCACACCCTGAAACCCGTCAACACCTGCCTTTCTGGTGCTCGCTCCCTCTTCTGCACCAGGCTCAAGGGCAGCCTGCGCCGCTGCGACGTCCGCAGTGCCGACGACTTTGACGAGGCCGAGTACAGGGAGGCCACCCGCAGCCTGAACAGGACAACCTTGGACCTCGTAAAGGTGATCTGATCTGACAACCCGATCTGATGACGTGAACATGCCCCTCCTCAGACACCTGTGCACGTTCTGTACACCCAGAAGAGAAAAGCAAATTGTTGTTTCTGTGCGGTGGTTGAAGAGTGCAGTACAGCATGCTGAACCGGCGGCCCGCGCGGTGCCACCCCCGCAGTGCCTGGGCACGGGCTGGCGCTTCCCCTGGGGCCTGCGGGTGCGGCTGTGCGAGGTGCTGCTGCGCGGTGTGTTCGACAGCCTGGAGGAGGGGGCGTACATAGCGGAGGCGGACGAGTACCTGCAGATGCTGCAGGTGACACGCATGTGTGTGTGTGTGCGTGCGTATGAGAGAGAGTATGTGTGCGTGTTTGCGTGTGTGTGGGGGGGGGAGGTGGTGGGGGTTGAGTGTTTAGTGTTTAGTGAGATTAGGTGCATGTTTGTTTGTATGTATGACCTGCAGACGCTCAAACTGACGGGATGGGGGGGAAAAATAATCTGACGACGTCTTTTTGGTGACCTCGATCGACAAACTCATGCGCAGCATGCGTCAATGTGTGAGCGGCTCGGCAGCATTTCGAAGAGTGGCGCTCTGCACGCATGTGATCGGCGCCCTCGCCCTGCTGAGCCGAATGACGCTCCTCCCCCCCCCCCCAAAAAAACCTGAACAGCCCCACCCCGCATCCCAAAGCCCACCGTCCCGTCATCCTGCCCCTCCTGCAGACGCGCGTGTGGCCGCTGCTGGGTGTGAGCCCTTCAATGCACAACAGCTGCTTCGCCTGGATCCACTTCAGACAGGTGAGTCGCGCGGCTGCTACGCTGAGCCGGGCCGCCATCTGCACGTTTTCTGCCAAACTGCAACCTCATGAGTGCCGCAACTGACTCCATGGCCCAGCAGGGATGACTCTTGTCGCACCTTGCAATGCCCCTCGGCCTTCGAAACAAAACAGTTTGTGATCACTAAGACGCCGGCGCTCGTCGGAAGCACCAAGGCGCTACTACGGCGCCTGGCGCAGGTGGACGGCAGCGCGGCGTGCGGCAGGGGCGAGCTCGCAGCGTGCCTTGACAGGCGGCACGATTGAGGGCACCAGCGTGGCTTCGAAGACGCACACACATGTGCATACGCTTGCGAGCACACCCAACACAAACACCCCCACATCCAAACACACACGTGCCTGCACACACACACACACACACACACACACACACACACACACACACACACAAAGGTCAGCAGCAGCGCGCGGCGAGCCCAGCAGGGCAACGCCGCCGGCGTCGGCCGCAGAGCGGACGACGTGGCGCCAGAAGACGCGGCGCTCGCCTGCGAGGTGTGCGGAACGGCATCGCATGTCTCAGCCATGCGCATGGCGCAGGTCCAGCCTTTTGTCTGCTTTCCTCAACCCTTCTTGGGTCTGTCTGCAGCGCCCGACCGCCGCAAGCGCAGCTTTGCCTAGCGGACGATCACGCGTCCTCGGGATGCGCACCCGCCGCTGCGCCGCCTGCGACGCTGCCCCCACTGCACTGCCCGAACCCTCGCCCTGTCCTTTTTGATGGCGTAAAATCTTCCTCGCCAGGTCGGCGCCTGCGTCATCGAGTGGGTCGGGGAGCGGGTGGCAGACTACCACCGGCGAGCCAAGGCGCTGGGTGGGCCCAGGGTGCTGTCTGGTCTGGTGGACGTATTGGCCTTTGCGGCTCAGAGCAGGTGAGGCCGCCGCTATGCTTGGGGTATAACATAGGGGGCCGTGGTGGCTTTTGCGACGGAAGGCAGGCGGGGCCGGCTCCCAGGAAAGGGGGTGAAGGGTGGCTCGCTACGAATTTGGGTTGGCGCGTGTGGCCACGCATGCACATGCGAGTTTGTGTGCGCATGAAAGTGTTTGTGTGCATGTTTGTGCGTGTGTACGTGTGTGTGCAGGCGTGCGTCTGTGTGAATATGTGGTTTTTCCTTGGAGTGTGTGTGTGTGTGTGTGTTTGTGT